CGCTGGCAAACAGCCTGGCACCGATGCCTTTCAGCAACACAGCGTAATGGGCAATACATGCAGTGGGCTGGGACAGAAGGGGTTCTTTTGAATGACAGTGCATACCATGCCCTTCTTTGTAAAAAAAAAAATATCAAAGAACACAACTTAAAGCAAAACCCACAGGATTTGCGTGCCTTGGAGCTGGAGCGGTGCTCTCAGTAGAAGAGGACTTTTCTTCCCTCTCCACCCACAGCCCAGAAAGCCACCACACCTGGACTGTGCCACCTGGCGCTGTCCCCAGCACGGCCCCATCCCCGACCAGCGTCACCAGCTGGCGCAGGTCCAGAGTGCCAAAAAACAGGTTGGGTGGGAAAGGAGGGTTTTGTCAGAGGAAACACCAGCCTCAGCCCTGCACAGGCACCTCTCAGCACACCAGGGCACAGGACAACCTGTGGCGTGGCAGGCATGGCACAGCCCCGTTAACATGGGCAGCCCGTGTCAGGGCACATGGGCACAGAGCCTTGGCTCTCAACGCTCAGTGTTTCAGGCTGGAGGGTGCTGCTTCGATCCTGCAAGCGCCTGCCATTCACCAGAGAGAAGGAGCAAACACAGAGTCACAGACTGGCAGGGGTTGGAAGAGACTTCTGGAGATCACCCAGTTCAACCCCTGCCAGAGCAGGGTCACCCAGAGCAGATCACACAGGAACGCGTCCAGGCAGGTTTTGAATGTCTCCAGAGAAGGAGCCAGGGCTCTGTCACCCTCACAGTAAAAAAGTGCTCCAGTTTGCAACCATTGCCCCTTGTCCTGTCGCTGGGCACAATGAAGAAGAGTCTGGTCCCATCCTCCTGACCCCCCCCCCTTTCGATATTTATAAGCATTGATGAGATCCCCCCTCAGTCTCCTTTTTTCCAGGCTGAACAGCCTCAGCTCTCTCAGTCTTTCCTCATATGGAAGATGCTCCAGTCCCCTCATCATCTTAGTGGCTCTATGCTGGACTCTCTCCAGTAGCTCCTTGTCCTTCTTGAATTGAGGAGCACAGAATTGGACACAGTATTCCAGATGTGGGAATCAAACCACTCTAACCAAGATCAGCAGCGTGTGCCCTTTCCAGACACAGCCACAGACTGGTACATCTCAAAGCAGTGCGGGCACCGGGGTTTGTTGTTTGGGATCTTCTTCCAGCAGCGACTCGGCTGCGGCAGGGTGCAGGGGAGCTTAGAGAGCCCTGGTCCCATCAGCAGAACCTACCTACCTTCAGGTGGTTGAAGGTGAGACCACCTTGCCCCCCCTCCTCTCCCCAGTCCTGGCTGCGGAGCTGGTCAAGCAGGCGAAGGCTATCCAGACGGGGACCCTTCAGTGTGTCCACCATTCGGAGCAGCTTCAGGATGGGCAGGTGAGTGGAGGATCTGGGGAGAGACAGTGTGGTGCAGTGAGCAGGGGGATGGAGACCTGCACTGGCACATGTGGGGATCCCCCCCTGGCCACCCACAGCCTGCATCTGCCTTCTGCACCCGTCTTTGGCAAAGGGAGTGGGGAGATTTGCAGGGTGATGGGAACACTGCTGAACAGCCTCTGCCTTCCCAGGAGGGACAAGAGAGGGGGAGCGCAGCAGGGTTGTGCTCTCCTATGTGCAGTGGGGATGGCTGACAGCTGCCCCAGAGAGGGGAGGCTGGATTGGACTCCTAGGAGAGGTCAAGCATCTGGCTGGACCACATTGTGCCCGAAATAACCCTGGCCTGGTCCAGCCAGATGCTCGGCCCCTCCTTGGGGCTGGGTAGCTGTGCTGGCAGGTGAGATATATCACTCTGGCCCCCTCCCTCCTGCAGCCCATTCTGAGGGCCCCAACCTCACCCCACTGCTGCCAAATGCCCCAGCTGGCTCCTGAAGCCCAAGGAGTGATTTGAGAGCTGCTGCCCTCCACACAGCCAGGCTTCAGCTCCTGGAACTAATTTGGGGGGGGTCCCTCAGTTGCACCCCCTCCCTTTTTCCTTGAGCTGCCTGAAATCTGGCTGTTTTTTCCCCTGACACAGGGGAACACAAAGGGCGTGACTTCACTCCACTGTGGACACAGGTCTTCAGTTTCCTATCCCCTTCCTATCCCACTATCCACCCGGCAGTGCCATTGGCTAGGGGGTGTTCCCCAGGATAGGGTCACCCCAGTCGCTCACCTCCAGCAGTGGGGGGATGCGGGAACGAGGTGGGCCTCCTCAGTGGCCGTCCGCAGGCTGTCGGCAGGAAAGGCCCCATTGCTCTGCCGCCCCTCGAGCCGGAGGGGCTCCTGCCACCTCCTCACCACGGGGATGATGTCAAAGCGGATGCTTTTCCAGCCACCACGAATCAGCAAGGAGAGCTCCATGGCATCTTTCTGCAGACTTTCAGCGCTGAGGTCACCTGGATGCGGAAGGTTTGGCCGTGGTTAGGAGGTTACCGCAGCTGGTCCCGCAGGCTGAACCGGGTGTGTGCCGCAACACCCATGGGCACGTCCCGCCCCACTCGACTCATCCCTTTCCAACGCTGCGGTTTGGCTGTGGCAAAAGCTGTTCTCCAAACCCCGCTGGGGTGGTTTTCAGGAAGGAGCATTGCTGCAGCGGGGCTCAGGGCTGGGCCAGTGGCTGTGGGCACCACAGGAAACTCCAAGCAGCCAGATGGAGCCGTGGCACTGGATGGCTGACCCGTGCCAAGGAAAATAATGTGGTCCAAGAAAATTGGACCAGGAAAGGTCTCAGGTTGTGGGGGCAAAGGAAGAGGAAGGGCTCTGGCTTGGCCGTGGAGGAAGGCGGGAATGGTAGACTTGCTGGGGCATGGTACTCTCACATCACCTTTCCATCAGGGCCGAGATTTACTTCAAACAGCACCTTTGGAGAAGGAAATGCATGAAGAAGCTTCTGGGAGCCCTATGGGCATCCCCAGGATCCCTTCCCCATTGTGTTCTTCCCAAGGACACTGGTCCCAGATGGGGCCCATGCCTGCACAGAGTCAGATTCATGCCCGAGGTCCTGGTCCAGCCCTGACACACTTCCAGCTCAGCCTCCAAACAGTCTCCTCCAAGGAGCAGGGGGCATTTGGAGGCCAGGAGAGATGGGGTGCATGTGGTTAGGCTGAGCCAAACCCACCAAGTCTCTGAGCAAACCCTTCCTGGGAGCTAATGGCAGGGGTGGGTGAGCCCAGTGTGGAGCTGCCACCCACTGCAGCGGGTGATATCAACCCAGGGTGAAGATGTCTGAGGACAACTCTGCCATAGGATGGCAGGAAGTAGTCTGCATGTCCCCTAACTCAGCTGAGGGCAAAGCCCATCCCAGCAGCTGGCAGGGCATTCGCTCGCTCCTGTAGGCTTTGGGTGGGTTGGGCACCCCAGGGACCTACGCCCCAACCCGTTCCTGCAGGGACTACTGCTGGGGCTCCCCAGCTGCATCGGAGGCAGCTCCAGGCTGG